TAATCATTTTGTGCTTGTGTCGTCATGTTTGTAAACTGTTTTTTGTATTGAAATTGGAAAAATTAATAAAAACTAATAAATTATTATAAAAAAAATTAAAAATAAAAGTTCAGTTCACATATTTCCCCCCCTGCTGTATCCTCTCCAGACAGGGGTGCCAAGGAACCTGAGCCCTAAAACTCAATTTTCCTAATGTGTAACAGCAAAACATTGTATATCCCTGAATAGCTATCTATTGTTCAATGAGCACCTAGATATTGCGCAGATCAAACAGTTACTGGCCAGAGGGGTTTTTTTTTGCAGAAGTTTTGGTGTTGCCATTGTCCCAGTCAACACCAGCAGAATCAGAATCCTTGGCTTGCCGTTCATCTAGGATGGAGAGTGAATGGGGGAGACCCCTTTCTTCATCAGATGAATGGCGGATAGTATAACCGCTGCCGGTAGCTTTTTGGCCATTCACCCAGGCACTCTCGCCCAGGATTCACCCAGGCACACTCGCTCTTCCAATAACATTTAGCTGGGCGGCTAGGTTCTTTGGATGAGGAATCTGACTCCTCAGAGTCCACCAAGTGTTGTGCTCATTTCATGGGAGGGGCAGGCTTGCCTGCCTCAGGACTAGTGGTCAGCACTTTAGCAAGTACCTTCTCCACAGAAGCGGCCAGAAGCCGCGTTAATCATAGATTGTAGGTCACTAGCCGTGGCATTGGAATCCTCCATGGTAACACAGACTTAACATGAAATAGGAAGCAGGCTACAGGGTACTAGTGTCATTGTAACAGGCAGCAGGTCATTTTATTTGTGGATACCAACCACGTGTATCACAGGCTCACCCAGAGTGTAGCATTGCAGACTCCCTCACAGCAGCTAGGGATATATAGAGTCCCAAATGAATGACGTTTTAATAACTCCTATTAGTAAGAGAACCAATGGTTTCCCCAAGTGTATTTGAGGGCAATTACCCAGCCCTCTTCACCCAAACCATAGTGAGGGGGGACAATAAACTAAATACCTGTAAAATAAGCCTTTTATACTTATCATTAGATATCTTCTTTTTTACTTCAATCTTTTTCTTTACCCCCCAAAATGCCAAAGACAAATCCATAAATCCCATTGAGAAAATGTTTGTGCTCTCTCCTTCTGCATGCAGCCCTGGGTAGCAGTGCAGTGTGTGGAAGAGAAAATGTTACTTCGTGTCCAACACTCCCTCCACACAGATTGCTCCGCTGTCAGTAGGTATCACTCTGAGACACTAATTTAATTTCCTTCTATTAAGAAGTAATTAGAAATATTGTGATCCAGTTGGTGTCATCTATTTGGATTATGCTAAGGCATTTGATACAGTTTCACAAAAAAAGGTTTCTAGCAAAACTAAAAAATCATGTTCTTGAAAAGAACATATCATTTTAAAGGTAGAGTGCAGAGAGAAGTCCTAAATGGACATTTTTTGAATTGGACAATATTGGTAAGTGGAGTGCCTCAGGCAGGGGCGGCTCTAGACTTTGTGAGGCATTAGTGAAACTCAAACACGAGGCCCTCACTTGCATTATTAGTGAAAAAAAATTAGGGGTTGCCTTGTGTGTGTATAAGAAGCTGTAGATATATTGAAAGGCAGGCTTGCAACATTAGATACAGAGAGCTAGCATCTGTATTCATCTTCAGAGGCTTGCATTGTTGTGGCATCCTGTGCCGCTCCATTGTGAGCCATCTGACTGTAGTTATAGCATAATTTGCAATAAATACATTTAAATTGCAATTACACTAATCGTTTATACAAGATTGTGGGGCATGGTTGTATAGCCTGGCCGTCATATATACATAAGTGCCAGTGTGAAGGGGTTATTGGAAACAAAACTGAATATTTTAGTTGGGCTTTTAAAACATAATTTACCAAATAAAGTTACAGATAAGAAAACAATGTCATAGACATTTTCCCCACATATTCTGTGACAGTGGCAGTGAGGGAAGGAGGGGGTGACAGGTGGCAGTGAGGGGACTAGAGGTGACAGATGCCAGTGACGGGTGACAGATGGCAGTGAAGGTAGTAGTGGGTGACAGATGGCAGTGAGAGGAAAGAGGGTGACAGGTGGCAGTGTGAGAAATAGGTGGTGACAGGTGGCAGTAAGGGTAGTAGGGGGTGACAGATAAAGTGAGGGTAGTAGGGGTGACAGATGGCAGGGAGGGGAGTAGGTTGTGGCAGGTGGCAGTGAGGAGAGTAGGGGGTGACAGATGGCAGTGAGGGGTGACAGGTGACAGTGAGGGTAGTAGGGGGTGACAGATAAAGTAAGGGTAGTAGGGGTGACAGATGGCAGGGAGGGGAGTAGGGAGGGACATATGGCAGGGAGGGGTGACAGGTGGCAGTGAGGGTAGTAGGGGGTGACAGGTGACAACGAGGGGTGTAGGGAGGGACATATGGCAGGGAGGGGTGACAGGTGGCAGTGAGGGTAGTAGGGGGTGAAAGATGGCAGTAAGGGTAGTAGGGGTGACAGATGGCAGTGAGGGGAGTATGGGTGACAGATGGAAGTGAGGGGGTGACAGATGGTAGTGAAGGGGTGACAGGTGGCAGTGAGGGGAGTAGGGGGTGACAGGTGGCAGTTAGGGAAGGAGGGGTGATATTTGGCGAGATAATTACCTTTTTCCCTAGTGGTCCAGTGAGCTCCCTATCTGGTCTGCAGCTCTGCCGGGTGTGAGCTGCAGACCATGTAATAGGAGTCTCGCGATCTCCAAAAGTCAAAGCATTGCCGTGGTAACCCGCAGTAACACTCTGATTGGCTGGGGACCGCGAGACACTTTAGTCTTCAGCTCACATCTGGTGGAGCTGCAGACTGAAGGCTGGCTCCCTGGGCAGAAGGGAGGGGCCTCGCACCTGGCTGCATTATGGCCTTATTCTCATTGACCGAGAGCCCTACAAGTCACTCTGCCCTAAGGCGATTTAGGCGGCCGCGAGGCTCCCGCCAGTGCAAGGCCTGAGGTGGCAGCTAAATCACCTAATTAGAGAGCCGCCTCTGGCCTCAGAGTTCAGTCATGGGTCCACTTCTCTTTAATCTGTTTACAAATGATCTTAAAGTGAGCATTGAAAGTAATGTGTCTGTGTAGCCATTTGCAGAATAGCCAGAATACACTTG